CAACTCTAACAATAAATAAAAGGAAAAAATTAATGAAGACCCCAGTAAAAAGCAGAAGATAGGTACTACTGGAGAAAGTTCTAGAGAGAGAAAAGAGAAAACATTTCATAGAGAGAGAAAGTTTTGTTTGTGGCTCTCTCTCTTGTTTTGTTGTCTTCTTCTTTCCTCTGCTTTGCTTTTTTCTACAGTTTTTTTTTTTTTTACTCGCTACAAAATCGAAGGTGGGGTCCATTTAAAATCACGCAAGACATACCTCTCCGTTTTGGAAATCCCCCCACACGTGTAGAGACGACGGTTTTGCGTAATCTTTCAACGGCGCTCGTTTTTGTTTTCTAATAATAATAATAAAAAATCCCTGAAGTTTATTTAAGGGAAAAAACTGATATAATAATAATAATCCTCGTTACTATTGTGGAATTTTAGCAGTGTGATTTTGGTGTTTATTGCATGTAGTTTGTACTTGTATATAATGCAAATTTATCTGATTGTATTACGGAAGAAGAAGAAGTCATTGGATTCCTCCATGTTTTATAGTCTCCCGTTTTACGAACCTTACGTACATATCTTACATACAAAAGCCGTAGTATATCGCTATTTTTTTCTTTTGGCTAAATAAAAACTTTTTTTTTGTGTGTGTGTGCTAAATAAAACTTTTATTGAAGGTTAATTGATATAAAAACATGTTTTTGTTGGGAATTTGAGTTTATATTCTCGTTGATTTTTATTTCACCTTTGAGTTACATAGCCTATAGATTTTAAGTGAGCTAATTGATTAACACTTTATGTTTTCTTTCTTTTCTTGTAAGAAGAAATTACTGTTTTAAGTGAGCTATTCAGTAGTAGTAATTACTATATGTGGTTACATGTTTTCAAGACTATGGAACAATCTTTTTCAAAAAAAAAAAGACTATGGAACATTTAAAAAAAAAAAGACTGAAACATTATTACTGTCGTTAACAGAACATTGATTATTATCGTGAAATGGATNAATAATGAAAAAATAAGAAGTATAAATGTATGTATATTGGAGTCTCTAGAATGGAGTTCTC